AGCTGGTTGGAGCAAAAAATTGCGTATTTGTGAAATATTTGAGGTGGTCTCAAAGCTTACTTTTGGTAGCGAATTACTTACCTGGAAAACTTGTGTGGTGGTCGCTGAGAAGCTGGCATTCTGACTGAGCACACCTTGCATGGCGGTGGACACGAATTGCTGTGACGACATTACCGTATTCTGCACAATCGTCTCCAATCCATAGTACATGGGTTGGGTGGAGAGTATGACTTGTGGTGCGGCCGCATTCGATGCGGCTATCATCTCCAATCCTGTCGCACCGCCACCAATTATCACCTGTTGCTGTTGTTGTGGATCGGTTGTTGTCGCTATAACATTGCCGCCCAATTGCAGCGTTTGCGGATTAATCAGCGTACCGATCACTTGCGGTTGCGGGGGCGCCTGCGTTGCGGTCGCTATATTTAACGGTGTAGCAGAGAGCATTTGCAAGCCGGTCGGTGTTTGAGTAGTGGTAAGCATCAGATTACCGCTGGCGTCGGTTTGCAGAAATGCTCCTTGTAAAAACTGATTCGCCGGCGCCGCTGTTGCGGTTGCTGTTATAAATGGTGTCGCCTGTGTTTGTGGTTTAAAATCATTAGCTGTGGGTATGGTCATATATTGAACTTGCGGCGTTTGTGTGCTATCGGTCGTTACAAACGAAATGATGTTCTGTGGCACCGTAGCATTCGGTGCACTCAGCTGTTGCATGACGATCGGCTGCTGTTGCCCGTTGCCGCTTTGAAAGAGCAGCTGCGGCTGTTGGGCGGTGGTGGTGGCGGCCGTCAAGCCGGCAGCCTGCATTTGTTGTAGTAAATTCTGATTGAGCAATTGTGTGGCGTTGTTGCCGGTGTTCAGCACTGTGATGGGCGTAGCTGTGGGCAACGACTGCATGGAGGGTTGTGAAACCGTTACAGTGGTTGTGTTCAACTTTGACTGTATCGGTTTTACGGTATTGCCGTTGGCCTTCAGCTTATTCTTAACGGCTGTGGCTGTTTGGTGCGCCGATTTTGTGGCAACAGTTTTTAACGGTTTGCCGCTCGCAATTGGCAGTACAATTTTCTTGTCGCCACTTGTCGTCTGCAGTGTCTGGAAAGCGTTGAGTCCATGCAGCAGCGGTTGATTGGTCATCGATTGTGTTGTGACGCCCGAAGGTAGCTGTATGATCTGTTGTGTGCCATCGGGTGACGAGGATACGGCAATCAGCTGCGGCTGCTGTTGCGCTGCCTGTACCGTGGTGGTGCCAAAGCCAGCAGTGGGCGCCAAGGTGTATGTGCCATTTAAATTTGCCGTCAAGCCTTGTAGCGAATTCAACAGCTGTACTTCATCGGTGGTTGATGTGGTTGGATTTGCCGGTGAAATGAAGAAACCGCCGCCAAGTGGCTGTGGCGTTTGCAAGCTTTGCAATTGTATATTCTGTAAGCCCTGTATATTTTGTAAGGTCTGTATATTCTGTAGTCCCTGTACGCTCTGAAAACCATTGCTCATATTCGCTATAGGTATGCCATTAATATTCGCTTGTATGCTGCCGATTGGTATGGCCTGCGAGAAGGCTTGCAGAAAGGGCAAACTATTGGCGCTGCTGGTGAGCGTAGTTGTGCGTTGTGCCTGCCCCAATTTGCTCAGATCAATGTTGGCATCCATGCCGGCCAGCGGTGGACTACCGTTTGTTGTTGAACCTGGCGAGCGTGAGGTGGCCTCGGATTCGGATTCACTGGTCGAGAGCGGTTCACAGGTGGCAAGATGACGCTGAAAGGACTCATAGTTGCGGTAGGTGCATTGACAGCGTTCACACTTGACAGTGCCGGTGAATTGCGCGTCACTAGTGATGATGCGGTACTCGGTAATCGAGTCATCTACACCGTCGACTTGCATCAACTTAATTTTTGTGTCATCCTTTTCGTCGATTATGTGCGGCTCTATGTAACGCTTAGCGGCGCTCCATGTAAATTGTTTGGTGCGTAGCGTTGTGGCACATTCCGATTCGCTCGAAACCGACTGGCGACGTGAAGCGCTCACAGCAATTGTTGCATTGTCCTTCTTTGTGCGATGCTGAGTCAGACTCTGTAGTATGCTCTCCGTAAGGCGTAGCTCGGGTAGACCCTTGTTGAGTTTGCGCTTTTTAATCGCCGCAGCTGCAGCGGCTGTGCTGGCACTTTCAAACTTGCTGAAGGTTTTCTTGCGTAATTCGGCGGTGCTGCGTTGTAACTCTGAAGCGCACATTGCACGCTTCAACTGTGTGCTTGTGGCGCGTGTGCACGACAATAGCGCGTCCTCCACATGACCTATGGCTATGTTGGTATTGGTGGATGAACAAGAATTGCTGAGCTCCAATTGTTTGCTGAGCGACGAATTCGCCGTATCCTCATCCGATACCTGTGCGCTAGAGGCGCTACAATTACCACTATGGGCGGCATTTGATGTAGATAAGGCGACAGTAACTGTCGTTGAGTTAGCAGCGCCATCTTTCGATTGTTCATTCAGATACATCTCGGCTGTTCTGCCTTCACTTGTGCCGCACATCTCCTCGTAAATCATACATTTCGGAAAGATATCAAGCATTGAAATACCGTCGAGCAAATCGTGTGGTAGATCCTCGAAAATGGCATCTTTAATCTCCGGCGGCAACAAGTCGGCATTCGTTTGCGGTTCTTCCTCGGTATTTTCATCTGGCGCTGGGTAAGAATTTTGACTCTGTATTAAGTACTCGGGCAGCAATTTTGTCAGCGTTGAATTACGCAACTCGGCTGCGTCAAAATCCGTCAACTCACCACGCGCCAGACTGCCATGCCAACACGCGATTTGCGCCAGGCCCAGTTGTACCAGTGAAATATTCGGATTGCTATGATCCACCGTAATGTTGCGACCAGCATCGAGAGTAGCCAATGTAGAATAGTTATTTTGTACAACTGTGCGCACCGTATACTCGACGACCTTCCATGGTTCCTTAAAGGACCAGTATAAACGTGAGCAGATAAAGTTGATCGGTATAATAGCCTCATAGGTATCGGAGAAACGTGGAAAGACACTGCCCAACTGCTTAACTTCTAGCGAGCCGATATGAAACTGTACTTTGCTGGGCTCCAACAGTTTCTTACGTTTACGATCTAGTTCCACATAGACCGGACGCGCCACTTCGAAATTCGTCTCAATTGTCAATGACGAATTGCTAAGTAACGCATTGCGCGCGTGCTCCGGACAGTAAACTGACTTATCGGTGAGAAACGCGCAGGCGATGTTGCGCGCGCATGAGTAGTGATAATGTTCACCGCACGATTTCACATTGCAACCGACTGTCGCGCCACGTCCACCACAAACGGTGCACTTTATCATACGTCCGCGCGCAATGGCGCTGTGCACATTCTGCAAAGAGCCATCGATTTCCTCAAACACCTCTGCCGACCACATGGCACAGTTCGTGTGTACCCAGCAATCATGACCGCAATAGAGTAGACGTGATTCTTCGTTGAAGAGACCCTCGCCGGATTTGCGACAAAAAAGGCAGGTACGCAGATCGTCACGCGGTTTCAGCGAGTACAACACCTCTTCGATATCTTCGGGCAGATCTATGACCGAACGATTGTGCGCTTCTTCGACGAAATCGTCTTGTGCATCCATTGAATTGCCCATTGAATAGGAGCAGGATTCGTACATATCCTCTTCGAGCGCGTCGGTGCAGGCTTTGGTCTCGTTTTGAAACCATGGGAATTGCTCACTCAATATTTCATTGTATGCAATTACCAATTCATCACAGTTCACACTCTGTATGACATTGATCATGTCGTAATTGAATTCGGCTAGTGAAACATAGTCGTTATTGTTGATTTTCTTCTTAATATCCATTAGACTAAGAGTGCTTATTTGCGCGTTGCTATTACCATATACACTACTGTAGCTGGACGTCTTTAGCTGGCAAGTACATTTGTCTTGCAGCTTATCATCACTGGGTTTATCCTTGAATTCATAGACATCGCTGCATTGAGAATCACCATCGCTACCCGATAACGAGTGTGACAAGCGCTCGGCCTCACTGCTGAATTGAAGACTCTTCGGCTGTGCGCGATGACTGGACTGCGCTGTGCTATTGCCACAAACGCAACGCATTTTTTTGCGCGGACTTAATTTAAGTAGCGCACACGCTTGTCGCGACTTGCTCAACAACTTCAGCACGCTCATTAAACTACTCTTGAACTCCTCCGATACGGCCATGCGCCATTCGGCCGCCTTCATTTTGCAGTCTTCGTTGCGACGCGCACACTTCTTACAGATGAATTCTATGGCCTCGGGTAATGTGCTTAGTAGGTTGTATTGCTCGTCGGAAAGCCCCTCGCACTTCGAATGTACCCAGTGATTGCAGTTGCCACACTCCATCATCTTTAGATCGAAATCGTTGTCATCGTAACATTTTTGACAGATCGGACAATAGTTGCCGCGTTTGCGCAGTTTGAAACAGGGCGTGCACATGGGCAGATTGCCGACGAACTTCGAGACTTTCGTTGTGGCGCAAGATTTGCATTTGAGACAATTCACACAGATGAGTGGGCGGTCGGCGCCCAGCAGACGCTTGCTAGTGCCCAGACATGTGGAATGATAGTTCTTTTGACATTTCTGACATTTCACCTTCGAACCGGACGACATATTGCACGTGTAACAGACGGTACAACGGGGACAGAGCCAATTAAGGCGATTTGTTATTTGATTTATTTGCTCGGGTGTGGGTGCAGCGGTGCTATGACCCATTGTCGAAATATCCATGAAGCTGAGCATGGTGTCGTCCAGTGAGGAATGCTTCAAATTATACTCATCCATTACGCAATACTGATGATATGGCTCACAGCAGCAAGCGCAGAAGATCAGCGGCTCTAAGCCGGCTGAACCGCAAAGGAAGCAGAGTGCGCGCTGTGCTACTGTCTCTGTGACGATCAAGCCAAAGCCGCTTTGACACACTTCAGCTGGATCGTAGTTTTCCCAAAAATCGATTGAGATCAATGTTTTCGGTCTTTGTGGCTCTTTGCGACGTAATAACTGCTGTTGTTGTTGTTGATATGCTATGTTGGAGTCGCTGCTGATTTGACGTATCGGCTTTTTGCCAAAAGTCGTAGCGTAGGAGGACGTTACAGCGCTGCGCTGTATTTGCAAATTAATATTACTCGTGTTTGAGTTGCGTGTGACCGCCTTAGAAGGCTGCAGTGGCAACAAGGCCTTCTCGGTTGCGTCGTTTGTTGTTTCATCGAGAGCGTTGCTCTCTTTCTTCTCAGCAGATGCATCGTTGCTGATTTTCGGCGTCTTCGCCGCAGGTTGCCCGGCATTCGGTTCAGCCTGTAGCGCGCTACTTTCGCCAACTGTCGCGGCCTTAGCGCTTTCATTTGGTTTCGCCGCAGTTTCTGGCTGTGTAGGCGGCGTGATTGGCTCAGCTTGCTGCGCCAGCGCCTTTTTATTAAGCGCTTCCTCTGCCTCCTGTGTTGTTATCAGCTCTTTTGTTAGCTGAATTGTTTGCGTTGGCGCCGTTTCAGATGTTGTTGTGGTGGTTGTAGCCTCATTACTACTTTCGATCACAATTTCCACGGGCTTAGCGGCTGCTGGCGTTAAGTCCGCTTGTGTTTCCGCAGTCACCTCGCACTCGGCTATGGTAAGTCTGTCTTCGTCATCCTCTTCGGTTTCTTCGCCAAAGGTGGCCAACGGCTGTCCAAGCACAATCGATGCACTGCGACAGACATGCTTTACGCGCGGCCCCTTCAAGTCGATACGCTGGCGCTTCAGCTCACTGGTTGCTGTTGTGGCTGTGCTGCCAGTTGTTGTTGTAGCAGTAAGCGTTTGCGTGCTGCTAACAACTAACGCTGTGCCACTTGTATCTGCAGCAGCACCAGCACCAGCAGCAGTTGTAGTTGCTGTTGTTGTTGGCGATAGAGATGCTGCTTTAGCGGATCTTGTGTGTATCTCATTAGTCTCTGATTTAGTGTTGACGGCCAGCGCATGCGTAGCGGTCTCAGTTACCGTTACTTTATTATTCGCCGCTGACTTTAGCTGACTTGTGTCACGTTCTTTCTCCTTTTCTGGAGCTTTACAGACGCGTTCCTTTTCTTTTTCCCGCTCTTTCTCCTTCTCCAATTTCTCTCTGCGCTTGCTCTTCGCCACGCGCTGTGTGCTGCTCTCGGCTGCGACCGGCTCTTGCGCTTTGCCTTCATTTTTGCTATTTATGTTGTGTGTTTTTTCGAGCTTCTCCTGTTGTTGTTGCTGCTGCTGCTGCTGCAATGACGGCGTTGCCTCAATTGGACTCTTCAAGAAGAGTGGCTTCTCCAGTATTGGCGGCCGCAGTATAGCCGAACTGCCGAATGTCGCATTATTCTCTGCCAGTGGATTACTTTTCAAATTCAATTTCAAACCCTCCGTTGTGGCATCCAAGGTGGACTTCCAGTTGAAACGTGCCGTCCCAAAGAGTCCACCTGTCGGTGAGAGATCAGCCAAATCGGTTTCCTTGCGTGCCGCTGGCTCGCCATCATCATCGTGGTCACGCTCACGTTTCGCCTCCACTTGCTTGAGTAGTGAATGTGGCAATGCGGCGCTCAAACTCAATTTGTCACCCGGTGATAATTGTAACGTTTGTAGACACTTCTTCAACCAGCACGATGTACAGCGCTCTTTGTAGATCTTTTTGAAATTCTTAATATGAATTTTTGTATGCGGTTGCAGTGCGCAATTACCTTGAGATTATAGTGTGGGGAGGAATACGAAAATTAGTTGAGTTCGAAGTACAGTTAATATCGTTGCTTTAGCACTTACCATCTCCCTTGCAGTGCAGTTGTGAGTTCTTCAGTAATGTATTTGAGCTGTTTTTTGAGATTTTCGAAATGAACTTGCGACAAGCAATGCACGCCGGCACACCATACTTACGTGGCTGCTGCAAGTTGCTACAATGCACGGGAGTACTGCAGACGTTGCACAGAGCGGAAGAAGAATCTGGTGGAGAGTATCGTATAATTGTAGTTTTTGATATTTTTTATTAACAAATGTAAATGTGAAAATTACTATTATATAAAATAAGAAAGTTCTTGTATCTGTAAGAGAGCCCTAACGGTTAATCTTGACTGATTTAATGCAAATTCGGGTTTTAAATCTAATAATTTTGAATTTATGTTTACAAACAGTAAGAATATCACAAGATCGATCGTTTATTAGCAACTTATTACTTCACGGAGTTGCCACCTTATTTACATGAATTTCATGAAAATGAAAAGTAAATTACAAAGCTGTATGATTACAAGAAGACTGCATGTTTTCAAAGCCTTCAATTGAATGCAAATCGGTATAGGGTTACCACCATGATTAATTTTTTAAATATTTACTTAAAATTTATATTTGAAACTATGTATTACTATCGGTATCCAAATACAGTTTGATAATAAATTGTATCCCAAAAACTACTGCTGTATAGTGCTGTAACCTAGTATTACTTATTTAGCATGAAAATAAATAATAAATAGCATTTAAGTATGATTATAAAACTTTCAAAATTGTTCAAAGTTTTAAGGTAAATAATAATTGGAAGAAAGTTGCCATACTTATTAGATTTCTAAATACTATGCACAACCATTAACTGCTACTTTACAATTATTTTACATTTTTTCTTTAAGACTTTGGCGCTCGATTTGAAATATAACAAAAATGATAAATTTTTTGCGAATTTGCATAATATTTGAGGTTAAGGGGCACACCTAGTGTGAAATTTTTCAAAAACCTATTTTACGATATTTTATATCTTTAAAAATAACATACTTAAATTCGATATCTCAAAACGTTTTTGAGTCACTGGGTAGTCGCTCAATTCATTCAGTTACATCTTTAAACACGTTTTTCTCAACAGTATTTTCGAATCTGCATTTTTGCAGTAATAACTCGTAGACAAATGGTCCGATCAGCACGATTTTTCTGCCTGTTCTGCATATAACTCTACAAATAAAGACCTATCAGTCATATTTGGCAGGCCAAAAACGACCAAAATTTGCGGTAAAATTCAACTCTTAAAAAAAACACCGCCATTATGATTTTTGATTTATTGTTTGATAGTAGGTCATAGTACGGAGAATATCTTCTAGTTACACGAGAATTGTTTATTTTTAGGTTTCATCCATGGAGATGGCCGGAATCACTGCAGCATTGGAGGTCCTATTTTATTAGCGCCGTTGGAGATCTCGTATAACTCAAAACATATTTAATTGTTTTTTACTATATATTCTTGAAACATGTATAAATACTTGTATCCCCTAGCATTTTCAAAGGAATCGATAATATATTATGATTGTTTTATCTGCCAATAACGGTCTTATTTGTCAAGTGTTTGCTTTTGATAAAAATAGCTGTTAATTTTACTAGTTATAATTACAAATTTAAAACGAAAAAAGCTTAAATATGCCTATAACGTTGCCACCTGATTTAAATTAAAAAAAAATATTGAAATTTAAAAAAAAAAGATTGAAATTTAAAAAACATTTTGAGGTTAAAACATAATAGTGATTAGAAATTTTACTTTGAAATTGTCTGAAACACTACTGGCAATTACTGCTCGTTTCGAAAATTCCCAATTTCGGGGTGTACACTAAAAATAACTTATTCAAATAAGCATTTGTGGTTTGTTCTACGCACCTGGTGAGCTTTTGCCCAACAAATTATTGACACTGCTCATGCCAAATGTGCTGCCAGCTGTGTTACTGGATAATGAAGATTTCAAACCCAACATTGCTGGCGGTGTCTTCGGCACAGATATGGACAACGGTGTTGTTGCTGGATTATTTAAGGATTTTGTCATTGTCGCTGTGGCATTACGTTCGGCGAGCGAGTCGAATTGCAAACGTGGCTGACGCAAAACAAAACTATTCGCTTTCAGTGAGCTAAAATTCGTACCGAATGTGGTTGCGCCGAAGCCTGTGCTCTTGCTATCCTTGCTGCTTTTGATACCTGTCGTAAGAAAAAGCGTATATAGATATTAAAAATTTCAAATGAACCGTTAGATTAATTGACATACTAACCCAAAGTATCGCCAGCGGCGTTGCCTGTCTCCGCATAGTCACCCAAGCCGAAATAATTTTGTTGCTCCTTCTTCGCTGCAGCAACGCCACCGCCACTGTTATTTGCTGTTGTTGTTGACGCCGCCGTCACTGTTGTGGTTGCGTGCATTTGTTTCGTCTTTGCATGTGACACCTTCTTGCAAATGATGCCATCTTCCAACAACCATTTATTCGGTTTGATGACACGCGAGGAGCGTGTGCTGCGCTTCGGTAGCACAAAATGCTTGTCCATCACAATTTGTTGCTCCTCTTCCTCGTCTTCCTCCTCTACAATTTCATCTTCCTCCTCAGCAGCTTTGACGTTCTCATTGTCGACATCATCGCGCTCGAAATCGCCAGTTAGCCTCTCCGCCATAAATTCGTGTGCACCGTTAGACGCAGCGCTATTGCCGCACACGTAATCAGCGCCCTCTGCGCCATGCTCACGCTTGGGATTTATATCGTTTGCGGTCTGCTTGCTGGTCTCGCTTAGCCTAAAGGCCACTGTGTCATGCTTGCGGTCATCGGCAAAGGCAGCTGGTGCACCAAAAGCACAAGCAAGTGCCGTACCGCCGAACACCGATGCCATTGTTGCGGTCGTTGACGAGCCCATACCGACAGCGTGGCCACCAACAGCTCCGGCACCACTCAGTGAAGTTGTTGTTGTTGTTGCTACACCACTACTAACAATTGTGTGACTGGAGCGGAATTTTAAGGAATTCAGTTTGTCGATGTTGGAATTGTTTTTAAGTATCTCGGTTAGGCGCGACGGTCGTACAATGCATTCGCCGCTGCGTGAGTACAATAACGGTCTATTCATGCACTCCTTCTTCATGATCGAGATGAGCGGTGTGCGGTTGTCGGGATTGTAGAACTTCTTCACAGCGCTCTTATCATCGCTCGTCTCGAGTATATTCTTGAATGTGACGGTCTTTTTCTGCTTGCCACCCGATGCGGTTGAGGAAGAAGACGACGAGGACGATGACGACGATGATGATGACGTTGACACGGTTGATGGCGTGGACGTTGTGGAGCATACACTACTAACAACGACCGCTGTTGCTGCTGCACTACTTGTGCTTGTGGTTGCTTTGCTGCTGTCTTTGCCGCTTGACGTTGTGGCTGAAGTGGCTGACTCACCAATACTGTTGTTGCCGGCTACTATTGCTGCTGTGGTCGTACTATCACTGGGCCTTTGGCTACTGCTGCAGCTGGTTGTAGGCATTTCATTCGTCGTGTTGGGTTTCTGCAAGAGCGCATATTATTCGATTAGCACGAATACGTACACAAAGGCAGCCGTGTAAAGAAGGGCGTGCAAAGGAACAATAAAAAATATGGCAAGCGCATGTGAAAGGATATGAAAATGCTTTTATTTGCGCTGTCATTGTTGTGATGGTAAATATGTGCGCAAGGGCACATGTACGGTTGAATTGTATGTGTGAGCACTTAAGAATGTAAACAAAGCGGGCTTTGAATAATAATATGCTTGTGAAAAGGATGCATGCGTGACAAAATTGGAATGGTTGCGCTTTAGAGTTCACGCACGGCGGAAAACTCATTATGGACACTCTTGATAAAATAGAATTTCAAATGTATACATACTTATTTGTCAAGTATTTGATTTCATTGGGCGTTAATGTTTCAAGTGGAAAATTAAAATAAAATAAGCTTAATTTGGTATTGACACTGTTAAAGAAGGTAAACAAACAAAAAATTAATAAACAAAGAAATAAAATAAAACAAGAAAAAACGTTTACCTCGGTTGCGCCGAAGTTGGAATACCCTTCGAAAGTAAAAAAGTTACCCATACAAGAACTTTGAAGAAATTTTGATCGTTCAGATTGTATGACAGCTCTATCCTATAGTTGTCCAACATTGGCGGTTCCGACAAATGAGCAACATCTTGGAGTGCAAACGACGTATATAAAATTTCAGATTGATATCTCAAAAACTAAGAGATTATTCCACGTATATACAACCAGACGGCACAGAGGGACTCAAAAGAGGGTTATCTCGACTCAGCTTGCTAAAGATGAAAACTCTAGCGAGGCGGCTGAAAATGTGAATACTGATATCTGATACTGTAACAGTCGACAGAGTTCGACCGTCATGTATGCACTGTTTCAATGCCCTTAAACTAAATATTGCATTAAAACCCTTTTGGAACCATTTAAATAAAGCTAAATACAAAAGAAGCTCGATGCATTTGTACCACACGAGTTAACGTCATGGACCGAATTTAAATTGGCGAATCGCTGCTGAATCATAACTAAATCGATCCATTTCTGAAGCGGATTCTTACTGGTAATGAAAAGTGGGTTACTTAAGACGAGAGCTGTCGTGGTCGAATCGCGGTGAGCCGACGCAAAACAGTCGGCCAGGCACTTTTGCCATGTGTTTGGTAGGATTGCCAAGGTATCATCTACTGTGAGCTGCTTCCCTACGGTCAAACTCTTTATCACAACCCGGACTGTCAACAATTGGACCGTCTGAACGTAGCAATGACCCAGAAGTGACCATAAAGAGAGGAATTTTGTTCCTTAGAGACAACGCAAGGCCACACGCAACGATAGTGACTCGCCAGATGCCACAGAAACTTTCTTGGGTGGATCTTATGCCTCTATCTTATAGTCCAAGTCTGGTACTACCTGTTTCTGTCTATGGCAATTGATTTTGCTGGTGAAAAATTCGCCTCGAGAGAGGCTTGTGAAAATTGACTGTCTCAGTGTTTTGTCAATAGGGACGAGGGTTTTTATGAGAGTGGCATCATGATATTACCTCCAAAGCGGCAACAAGCGAACAAAACGCTGCATATTTCACCTAAATCGGATCTTTCTAGTTAGTTCTAGTCGAGCTTGAATGATACTATTGCGAACAACTAGAAATTCTTCAAAAAATCATACTTTATTCTGAAACCCTTAAATTAAAATATAAATATATAGATAAATGAAACTGTCAGTAAAAAGTATTCAAGCTGTCGTACAGTGTTATGTAACGGTTTTAGATGCAATTAAGAAGAAAAATTTCCAAATTTTGTTAATTTACTAGTAAGCACTTGCGCGATATAGGGCACAATGAGTCGCCCATCCAGTTTTCATCTAGATTTGTAATAAAATTCGGTAAAATTTCTCTTCTAGATGGCTTGTTAGCGTAAAACATGATACTGAACAACTTTTTACATTGATTTATAAAAAAGACCATAAGCATCTGTGAGAACATTAAATTTATCTAAAAGCTTCAGCGTATGCTCATTGGAAATCAAATAAATTGGAGCTATTAATGAGTACACAAATTTTTTTTTTTTAAGATGACACGTTCATATTATCAATGTGATGCATCATTGAGCTGAATCACAAAAGACCTTATAAAGAGTCTGAATCATAAAAAAATCTATCTATACAGATTGAAGTGATAAAATGCTTGAAAAAAATAACATGAAAAAAATGACATGAAAAAATACAACAAGAGGCGAAAAAATGTGTAGTAACGAATATGTCAGATATACATACGACATCAAAACAAAATGAAGAGTACGTGAGAGTAACAATAGATCCGAGTGACCATAATAAGGACGAATTAAAAACATGATAAGGGGAGCATAAACGTTAGATGATCAATAAATTAAGTGTTGAATAAAAACTGTTGGCAACGCTGATGATTAAATTATCAATTAATTCTTTATTAAATGTTGAGCATATAATCTATTAGTTAACTATCACATTATTAAATAGTTGATTGTTATATGATCACTAATGAATATATTATCAATCAAGTGATCAATTAGATAATGATTATATAAGTATAAGCACACAGGTGATGATACATCACATAACAATTGCTTTCATTTTATTTTTAATTTTTAATTATTATAAGTTTAAAGCTCTTAAATAAATATAACTCTCGCAATAATACAAAATAAACTTAACAAGTAAGGAAGGGTTAAGTTCGGATGTAACCTAACATTTTATACTCTCGCAAAGTCAAATAGTATACACGTTTGAGACTTCTTTGTGGATTGACTGATATTTTCGGTAGAAGGTCAACTATAGGCACTGGGGTCCACATATTTAGTACTTAGGGGCTTAAACAGTTTTGGTTCGATTTAGACAATTTTTGGCCACAAGGTGACATACTTTAATCGCATTATTCACGCAAAGTTTTATCCCGATACAGTCATTGTTGCCTGATTTGCATAGTGGAAAGTGAAAGAATCAGATGGAATTTAAAATGGTGTTATATGGGAAGTAGGCGTGGTTGTAGTCTTATTTCGCCCATTTTCGCACTATGACATAGAAACATGAAAAGAACGTTATGCACCGAATTTGGTCGAAATTGGTTAAGCAGATCTCAAGATATGGGTTTTCACCTAAAAGTGGGCTGTGCCACGCCCACTGTCTAATTTTGAACGCGGTTCCTATAAAATCATCTCGTACCATCCCAGAGATAAAATTTAATGTCTCTGGCGTGTTTAGTGCTTGATTTATCGCGCTTTTAGTAGTTTTTAACAGTACCGTTATATGGGGAGTGGGCGGAGTTGCCACCCGATTTCAACTATTTTCACTCTGTCAATAGAAGTGCTAAAAACATTTGCTTCCAGTGAATTTTGTTATTATAGCATTAGCGGTTTAGGAGATATGCACATTAAACCTATTAGAGGCGGGACCACGCCGACTTTTTAAAAAAAAATTTTAACTGCAGATGCCCCTCCCTAATGTGATCCTGTGTACCAAATAACAGTCTTGTATTTTATTGCGGAGCTTAGTTATGGCAAGTTATTTATTTTTGATTAATGGCGTTTTGTGGGCGTGGCAGTGGTCCGATTACGCCCATCTGCAATACCAACCGTCTCACGGTACCAAGAAACATGTCTACCAAGTTTCATAAAGATATCTCAATTTTTACTCAAGTTAGAGCTTGCACGGACGGACGGACGGACAGACAGTCACCCGGATTTTAACTCGTCTCTTCATCCTGATCATTTATATAGGTATATATAACCCTATATCTAACTCGATTAGTTTTAGGTGATACAAACAACCGTTAGGTGAACAAAACTATTATACTCTGTAGCAACAGGTTGCGAGAGTATAAAAAGCACAAACAGTTCTGAAAAAAACCTCATGGTTTCTGAAATATTATTGAATTAACAATGTATTCAAAAAATTAAAAAAATAAAGAAAAACTTTACGCTGCACGACAATATTGCCTCGGAAATGAATAGTAATTAAGCTTATTGCTATAATTAAGTTAATTGCTTAATTTTATGTGTTTTTCTATGCATAAATCAGTAACAATGCATGAGTAGTCATCGTGAATGATGAGCAGGTGAACGATCAAGTGTTTAAAGCTTTCCATTTTAAGTTGTAAAGCTACAGAAAGCATTTGCTTTAACAGATAATTAATGATGAAAAAACGTTAACTTCAGCGACACCAAAACTAATATACCCTACAAAGGTGTATTCTTTATAGCATAAAAGCGTATAAAAAGATATTTTGATTGATCAGTTTTAATGGCAGCTATATACTATAGTGTTTCGTTCCGAACAATTTGCTCGGAAATTATAGCGGTACCTTGAACAATAATATGTGCCAAATTTCTCGAAGATATCTCGTCAAATAAAAAAGTTTTCCATACAAGGACTTGAGTTTGAACGATCAGTTTTAATGGCAGCTATATGCTATAGTCGTCCGATATCGATAATTCACACAAATGAGCAACATATTGAGGACGTGTGCAAAGTTTCAGAACGATATCTCAAAAAAAGGAGGAGCTTTTTTTAAGGTTCTGTCAAAAAGTTCTCTAAAAACTTTGTGAAAGCTTTATTTTTCAATCGATCTCTTCAAAAGCTTCCCCAAACACTGAGTAAAAGCCGCATTTTTAAACGTCACCAAATTAAGAAGAACAAGCGTTTTTACAAAAGTTCTGCTAAAAAGCTTTCAAAACACTTAGCGAAAGCTGCATTTTTAACGATACTGTTATTTTGGTTATGGTAGTTAAGCTTATTGCTTGTTTTATACGCCATAAATCAGCTCATTAACAAAATCAACATTTAATGTTGAAAGGAAAGCAAAAAACACGCAGCGGCTATTTAATCGGGCCACACCTCACACATTAAACGGTCAAAAAGTTTGCGTAAAACAAATTAACGAAGAAAACCAAATACCATTTTGAAGCAGCAATTTGTAACGATGAATCAATTCTTCTAAATGCCATAAAAGATCAACACAATCAACGGTGAGACCAAGCGACTACCTGTGCGGACAAATGCCGCAAACAAAAATAACAACAGCACGGAAAGCAAACAAAAGCGTAAACAACAAATACATTAAAGCTGCAAGGCAGAAAATAAACGAATTACAATAAAATAAAGGAGACGAAATAGTGTGTTTGTGTGTGGAGAACCGACCAGGAAGGAATTTCAAAAGGGGCAAAAAGCCAAAAGGAGCTTCCACAGCAGAATCGACAAAGGTAGTCAACAACTTTAAGGCGCGCGCAAATGCATATTATTACAACGCAAATAAAAGCAACAACAAAGAAAGATTTGCAAATAAAAAAATGTGTCGGAAAAAAGCGAAAAAAAAAATAATAATGATGAAGGCAATGTAAGGAAGCGCAATGCAATCAAAAACACTCACCACTGCAGCGTCTTCGTTGTCAGCACAACCGTCTTCTACACCGGCAGCAACACCAACACCACCACCACTATCGCCAACGCTACTGTCACCGTTTTGCGCAGTAGTAGTTGTGCCCACACCATTGCCATTTATTACCGCATCAACGGCCATGATACACGATGCATCGTCGTCATCCGTGTCGTTTGTCGTCGCACAAAGTTTGCCAGCGACAGCGAAGGGATTCGAGATGCGATGCGGTGTTGTCGCTGCGGGTAACGCTGTTGTACTTTTATTATTGCAGCTTGTTAGTGTGTTATTGTTGTTGCCACCGCTGCTGCTAGCATTCGCTGTTGTTGGCGGTGATGCGCAATTAAGTTGATTTTGCTTTTGTAGTTGCCGTAATTTAGCCGATGAAGGCAACATCACCTCGGGTTTGGCAAGATTCAAGTTTTTAAATTTACCATCACGCTTGCTGCGACTAAATGCCAATGCCACCGTCGTTGTGCTGCTGCTGTTGATGGTTGTAATGGTGGCGGAGGAGTTTGTCGTGGAGGCTGTTGAGCAGCCAGATAGCTGTGATTTGCGACTAGTAGACGATGCATTGTCATCCTCATACTCATCCTCGTCGATATCGTCTTCATCATTGGCAACGCCATCAACATCACAGCCATCATTCTCATTAATTTCAGCATACTCCTGCATATCTGCTGTGTTCGCATTCATCTTATCGTCATCTTCGGTCGGCATTGTCTTTATAGCAGCTTGCTGTTTATTCGCATTATGCGCTGCCACAGTCATCGTGCAATCAGCATCAACTTTATCATTGGCTGCTGTTGTATGGCGCGTTGCGCGCGTTTCATCGTCTGCTTTATCTGCACTTTCATCGCGTTGTTTGTTGTCATCAAGTGCAGTTGCAAGCTTTTTATCTGTTGTATCCTTGTGCTTGCTTTTGCCACGATTGCTGCTCCTACTTTTGCCTTTATTGCCGCTCACAGCAGTCAGCGCTGCTCTCTTCACTGCCGTCTCAGTAGTGTTTTTCGCACCAGCGCATTGTTTGTGTGTGGTAACATTATCGCTAGCGCCACTACTGCCACTTGCCCCGTTGCTGCTGCCGTTGTTGGCGGCGCTGCTGTTGCCATTCACATTTCGGCCATTGCGTGCGCCGCCGCCTCCACCACCACCAGCGCCACCGCTTGTACCGGCTTGGCTGTTGCCGCCGCCTCCGCCGATACCGCCACCGCTTCCGGGGCCACCACCCTTCTTATTGTGTCCATCTTCGTCGTCATCACAATTGCCGCCGCCGCCGCGCTTATCACCACCAACACACGTCGTTGCCGACGCGCTTACACCATCCTCCGGCTCCGTCGCCGCCGCCGTCGACGCATCGTCATCTAATTGTAATACACTGATGCGCTTACGATTAATCGACTTGGACGGTTTTCCGGGAAACTTGGAGCGGCCCATAATAATAATACTCGTATGAAATTTGCATTTGCGAATGCGTCAGCAATAACTGTAAACCGCCCACCATACGTTTGTGCTGTTGTAGTTATATTTCTTTTTTAACGCTTTTTTATCGGTTTTAGCGCACTGCAGGGATTTGTGCGTCACGTCCCTGTGTGCAATTGCTCACTACTCGCAGATTTATCCACCCCGTTTGGGCGCTAATTTCATTCGTAACACAACCGACACGTTTCTGCTGCAATTCCTTGCGTGTGCACGCGCCTCAGAAACAAAAACTATTCTGCTGTGCTACACTTTTCAGTCAATCCGTCAGCTAAGTCTATTTTCCACTCCACTATGTGGAGGATAAAAGGTGTAAAGTGTAGTGTTGCCGTCGTGCGTATGTAAATACTTCTGTAAGTGTATGTGTGTGCGTGTTTCGTTTACAGCGCAGGGTATTAGCCGACAGCTGGCTTAATTGTTTTTCTTTTGCACCTTTTTGTTTGGTGTGTTGTGTTGCCGCGCGCTGCTTCCTTATTGAGTGGCGGTTTGTTATTTAGTCGTTCGTTGCTTGCTTGTTTGGTTCGTATGCTGTTTTTGACTTGTGTGACCACCTTTTGCTTGCAACCAGCCTGACGACTATTCGTTTTTGTTGCAATTGTTGTGTACCCACATCACCCGTCGTTACAAATACACGCGCGCGGTGCAACTAAAAACAGTTCCAGTTGTGGCAAGCTGCTCTCGTTGCAAGGCTTGCTAGTTTAACAACTTCCTCTCACACGCACTCTCTCTCTCTCTCTCTATCTCTCAGTAACGCTCTCTTACTGCGTTCGCTTCGCCTCTCCCCAATGGGTTTGTATGCACTTTTCGTATATGGCACGCGCTCTCCCTCTCTAACACGCTGTCTTCTTATCGGCTTTGACACGTCGATAGTTTGGCTGCTCGTGCTCTCACCTCACCCTAGTTTTGTAGCAAACAATACCTGCTTTTATGCGATGCAACGTTTAGGGGAAAAAATTAATTTTCCTCACCGTTGTTGCAGCTGCAGCTGAGGTGTGAGTATAAGCACGCTGACTTTTATAGTGGCGTCGTGTGTTTCTGCTGACCGCTCTGCTCGCGCTCTCACACGCCGAAAATTGTACGCTTGTTTGTTGTATTTTTCTTTTCGTTTCACTATTGTTGCAGGCACGTTGACCGACCGCTTCTGCTTTTTGTTGTTGTTATTGCTACCTTTAGCTCGAATTTTCTTTGCTCTAAAATCGGGACGCCTCACATCGTCGTTGCTACTTTTCTTTGCATCTTAGTCGTCTCAACGTTATGACAGCTCGTTGTTATTTGCTGTTGTTGCTTTTGATATATCTACGTACACGTCCCACAGTTGCATGCGTTCAATCTCTAGGGACGGTAAACCGAGACGCTGTACGCCTGAATGGCTGACGGCACAAGGACTGGGTCTTCTTAGCGAATTTCGCCGCTACTCCACCACTGTTTTCTGTCGGTTTTGCTTCTTTCTCTTTCTATCTCTCACTCTCTCGCTCTCTCTTATACACTGTGTTTACGTTTTTTTTTGTTAATAATGTTTCTTTTCACTTTGCTCTCTTGCGTTTATGCATTTTTTAGCGAGATCTTAACTTGTTTGTTTTTGCTTTTCTTTGCCTCACATTTTGACCATATTTCTTTTTTGGGCTTTGAGATTTTGTTTAAGCGTTTATTGAGCGCTTTCTGGAATTTTGGTAAATGTTTTTCGAGTTCGGATTGGGGGCATACGCTATATTTGTAGTTATCTGCAAAGAAGAAGGCGGAACAATTTTACAGATTAGAAAAAGAAGCTTAAAAGACAATGCTTGAAAGAAATAAATTATAAAATATTATAAAACAGTTTTCATATTTATCAAACCATTGGAGTGTAGTTATTGGAATGGTTGTTGTTTTGAGCGAGAGCGTAATTAACGTTCTTGTTGTGAGTGTGATTGGAAAAGTATAGAATTTAGTGGGGAGAATAACAAGGGTTGGATAAAATGTCAACTTGGTTAGTGGAGCTGCGAGAAAATGTTGAGTATGGAGAAATAAGTGAAATTGGAATTTTACAAAATTTTATTGGGTGGGCTTTGATTTTTGCCCAAGAACGTTCGAATAAAAATCAAGAATAACTGAAACAGTTATAAAGAGACCTGCATATTCGATTTTGTAATGACTTATCTTATATTCGGACTAAAAGCTACCGAAAGTAGTGATTTATAGACGTCAAATAGTTTTTTATACGACGGACCTTCGAAAACTGGAAGTTTCCAAAGTTGTTACGACCGCTGCTATTTCAAAAGGTATAAATTATATGTGCTTTCATTAGCTGAACTTATGAAACACTTAGATTTTTGACTTTGATTATTTTGACGATTATATAAAAACGTGATCTTCGGCTACCACGAAACTGTAATACCTTTCAGAGGTGTATTTTTTATGGCACAAAATGGTACAAAAAGGATCTTTATCTTGTTTTTGATCGATTAGTTTGTATGGCAGCTATATGTTATAGTGGTCTGATACTGATTTTGGCGGTTCCGACAAAAGAGCAGCTTCTTGGGAAGAGAAGCACGTGTGCAAAATTTCAGTTCGATATTTTAAAAACTGTGGGACTTTCAACTTTGAACTTATAAGATACCTCGATTTGAAGCTATAGGATGAGTAATAGTAGAAGAATAATGAAAATGAGTTTTTTCGACTTGATGATCTCGTTGATTTGGAGTACTTTCCAATTTCATTTCACATTTTTTGATAATTTTAATGATTTTTAAATCAAATCTACAAGATAAACATGATGAAACACAGTTTATTTTATGAAAAGAACTGCTGGCCAGTTACGCCGTAAGTTTGATCGTGGAACTGGTACTGGCCTTCAAAAGCCATTTCCTTGCATCAAGATACTTTTTAAGCTAAACATTCACCCTGCCAAACATTAAGATTAAACGCAGGCAGGAAATATTTTTAAGAATGCTTTCTGCATAATTTACTTGCCATAGATAAAACGAAAGCAAGCTTAATGTAACCATGTTTCAGAGTTCTTACACTTAATTAACCATAACTACACCTTTCAAATAATAATTATAATTAAATAATAACAAAGTGTATCGGAGCCCACAGAGATTACTTTGGCATATTATTCAGTTATTTCCTGATGGTCGGAAAGCCTTTCACATGAGAATGCAAGCACTTACACATACATACATACAAAGGCATATATAATTTTGCGAGCACTTCTCCTCCATGGCTCTAAGTCAATGCACTGTGACGGCGACAAATTGAATTTAATGTCAGTTAGCTGCCGCTTCTTCTTAAGAATGCATGAAAAGCTGTTGCTGTGGCGTGAAGGGTGGGGGGAGAGCGACTTAAGAAAAGGAAAGGAAATGAAAGTGCCGTGATGACTAAGAGGATACTTGAAAAGCTTGTGTAAGCAGCGGGCGACAGCAGGTGATGCTCACTGAACTGGAAACGTGTTGCTAGTTGGGCAATCAACGTCAGATGCCAGCAAACAGCAAACAACAAGCAACAACCAGCAACCAGCAGACAACCGCCAAGTAAGTGCCAAAGCCGCAAACAATCAGCGAAATAGCAGCGATGCGAAGGAATCATAGATGTCTATTTCCTTTGCGATATTTTTCTTATACACGGTAGTAGTTGCTGGCGGTTTTTGTTGTTGTAGCCAGCAGTTAGCTACTGGTTGTGGCCTTTTTTGCATCTTGACAAACTGTACGCGATTTTCCTGCAACTAAACCAACTGAGGCAAGTAAGTTTGCAATTGACTAACTGGCTTGAGCTGCCTGGTTGAGAAGTGGCTTGTAAGCACCCGTGTGCATGTGTGTGTGTTTGTTTGTGTTAGCGCATTTTTCTCACTCACTCACTCATTCGCCGACCGATGCCTCCACCACCAAGCACTTATCCGGCACAACTTGACCATATCAAGCGAGCTACTAAAACTATAGAAGCTTATTGAAGCGTTATTATTCCAGTTGTTGTTGTTGTTGTTTTCTGCTGCTGTGGAATGTCAAACAGTAGTTAGTGAGTTAGCTGACGTGAGTAAGGTAATTTTTTCGGGCGGCCAAAGGGCGGTCGGTAGATGGCTAACTAAATAAATGCGCTGATACTGATAAATCAGGTAACCTGTTTACAAAAACACAATGCAACGTACAAGGAGAATGGGGGAGAGAGAGAAGACTGGCAGCACAACAAAAAGGGTTGGATAGAATATGGGGAGTTAAGTACGTATGCGGAGTGAAAAACGATATTAATTAAATGCAAAAATAACAAGAAAAATGTGTGTTGTTGGCAGCGGGGTACAGGGGTGCCCCACAGTGCTCAGTCAAGTAACCTGTAGGGATATACACACAAGCAGTGGCGAAAAAACTGTAGCAACACTAAGGGGTCATTTCTTATTGAGTTTTTATTTTGATAGAGTTTATTGCGAATTAAGTTTCACTGAAAAGGGTAAAAACTATTTTTAAAAAATTTTACGAAGCCTGAAAAAATACCGTAATCATTTCACAGAGTTGCTTTGGACGTATCTACCGGAGGATTTTTTAAATAAATTTTAACGGGAAAGAACCTCTAATAGAAAGGTTGACTGGTTGTAAAATTGATAAAAATGGAGTTTAAGCCTAAACTTAGATACCCATATACGATTTTGAACTGTCAAAACAGGGTTTATTCTCAAATCAAACCCTATTGAAATTGTATTTAAAGCGAGTTAAACGGGTTACATCTCTATAAACAATAATGAATTGATATTTTAGGCGAGTTAAATGTTTATTCTCTAAACTCTGTAAGTCTTAAGTCTCACAACTTCTTACACTTATTTGGAATTTGTGCAATTTTATAAAATTTCCAAATTCGTAACTCGAGTTTAAGATAAGGTCTCTTTATTAACACTAAAAAGTGATATTTAAGGCTAGGCTAACTTTTACATGTGTTTTGTATGATAAGTATTTAACGCCAAACATCAAAATGTTCAATAAACAAGAGTTAAACAGTTTTTATTTAAGGAATACCGAGGTAAATTGAATTTATTTTTATGTATACAATGTATACACAGTAAACGTGGACAGCTTTGAGTTGCTCTAAACACTAAAAAGTGGTGTTAACACTTGTTTGCTTAGTAAACTGCCTATTTGTTAGGCGTGTTTAACAATTAACATCTAAAGGAACATAAACTCGAATTTGAAGCCCACCTTATTTGAGTGAGATTTAAAAAAGATGCATTTTGTTGTTAATTTTTAAAATTCTTGATTCGAGTTTAAAAGTTTATGTCAATAAACAAAGTTTAAACGTTCTATTTCTTTTTTACTTTTTTAGGGTGTTCTTAGTTTGACAATGTTGTATTTGCCATAGACATCAAAAACTGCTGTTTAAGGTGGGTTAAATATTTATTTTTATGTTAAACTCCTTTTTAGTAAGTAGTGTTTAACAGTTAACACAAAAGTTATCAATAAACTCGAGTTTGTTGTATTAAAGCGCATTTTTGAAGTTTGATGTAATTTTTTGTGTTAAACTTTTAAAGTTATAGTTTCTAAAATTCCTGAAGTATTGAAATTACTGTAAGATTATTTAATTTTTCAAACTGAAGTCTTGGTATAAGGAACTTTTTTATTTGACATGGTATCGTTATGAAATTTGCGATATATTATTATTCAAGGCATCGCTCTGATGTCCAAATAAATTGTTCACATCGGACAACTATAGCATATAGCTGCACTACAAACTGACCGATCTAATTCAAGTCCTGGTATGTAAATAATTTTTATTTGACAAGGTATCGTCATGAAATTTGCCATAGATAATAGTCCAAACAATTGCAATAATAGTCGAAAATATCGTGCATATCGGACCACTATATCACATAGCTACCATATAAACTGACCGATCCAAATCAAGCTAAATATCTGTTTATTTTTTTGCGCAACAGTATACATATAAGTATATGTACATTTATCTGTGTAATTAGTCAGTTATTTAATGTAAATTCAAAGCAGCAATTATACAGCATTTTAATTGCTAATTTACAATACAAAATACAAATAAGAGGGCAGCCACTAAACTACGACTAGTCTAACTAAGCGCGATTATATATGCGCATATGTATGTAAATATGTAAGAATGGCATATACACTAGCACACAAATCAGATTACTATAAATAGAGAGCAATTAATGCAACACAATGTAAAGGCGCAAAAATGAATAAAAATATCAGATGATTGAGTGGGGGAAAACCGTTTCTGCGCATTGTTCTAGAAGCGCGTAAGAATCGTTTCCAAGTCGAGACTAGCACTTTACACGCCTATATACCGGCAAATATATGTATATGCATATGCATAGAAAAATCAACAATCATACAAAGTACATAGGTATATAAAATGTCTATGCACACATACTCACTTGATTAGGTAAACAGATATGGGCTCGCTTTGCATTTACAAGCGTCATTGTTCTCGGCCGCTACAAAAAATCTTGATTAAATAATGACCAGGGAGCGTGTTAAGTGGCGAACATAACCGATTCAACCGCAGAATAAATAAATAGCTAATTGTCCACAGCCCTCGAAAAACCCGCATACCAACAATAAAAATAAGAATAACAATAACAACGATAGTGGTGGCGTTGATATTACGCAGTGCAAGATTTTCAGCACCCTGAGCGCTACTAATCACCAAAAAATATATACACATTTAGGCCCACTCAAGTGCCATAAGCAAATGAAAATGTAATCAATAAAACGTTAACTTCACAAATTATGCT